GAACACAGGAAGCATATTTAGTCAACCAGCATAGTGCTGGTGTCGCCGAGTTAAAATTCGGGCAGAGTCACAAGGTGCTCTTCTCGCGGGAGCCATTCGGGTGGCTCGGGTGCAGCTTGTGAACAGACAGAAACCATTCTATGGTCTCACGAAAATAGACTCGGGCGGGCCGCGCATCTTTGTCGAAATGGTCGCCCGCCATTCTCGCTCTCCACAAAGAGTGGAGGCCCAGGAGCATGATTGCATCATAGGGAACCCCGTCTTCGTTTTGAACATTCAGCCACCGGATTCCATACGGGTCCAATGGAAAGTCTTTCTTAATAGCTCTCTGCAGCACGTCCGAAAAATACACTTCCTCCCAGCAATGCAAGAAGACGTGGTCAATCGTTTCCGGTGCCTTACAAATTATGCAATGGGATCCCCAAAGGGAACAAAATCCCTTTGCTTCTAAAAACACTTTCACTGGCAATGTGCCCGGGTGCAGTTTAAAAAAGAATGTTTTGGTTCCCGGCGGCACGTGCATCTTTTTAACCCTTTTTAATACATTGCTTCCTGGTCCTCCCCTGTACATAGCCCGTTAAAGCGGCACTGGACACACAATGTCACATAATCCAAAATAAAGTTCTTTTCTTTTTACGCTCCACAGGTACTCTTTTGAAGATCTCACTGAAAGAAATTTTGTACTGAACACAACTTCTCTATAGAACCCGCCAATCCCTCCTGCACGGGCTTCGGTAGTCACAACATATTCAGGAAGACATCTACCGAGGCGCAATTGACACAGGGTACGCAGGAATGGATCGGTGAGGTCTCTAAAAAACAAAAACCTGTTCACAAGTTGGCGCAAAAACAAGTGACCACGGCCAAGGCCACCGTCTTTAACCCGTCTGAGCAAGTTGGTACGGCTGCATCGTTCCCACTGGGAAGCCCACACAAATACGGTGAAGATCCGGTGAAACTTCTGCACATTAGTTCGCGAGCAGTGCAGCACCTGCAGCACGTACCAAAGCTTGCTCGTAAAGAACAGGTTGCAGACGGTGGCTCTGGCAAAGATTGACAAACTCGCCCCCCTCTACTTCTTGGCTTTTTCCTGCGTATCTTTCACTTGGTCCTGCCAATATTGGGCACTGTCTCGGTACGCATCGAGCGGGACGCCCAAGTACTTGCCCGGGACTGTCGCCCATGGCACATTTGCAAAGTGGTCGGGTTTTGTGTGCCAGGATCCGTGCCAGAGCCCGAGACACTTGGAGCAATTTATACCACTTCCTGTGACGTAGCTAAACTCGCGAACAGTGTCAACAGACTGTTGAATGCTACGCTTGTCTGTTGAAAAAATGGCCACATCATCAGCATAGGCAAGCAGCTTGACTTCTGAAGATTGTAGCCGGAAGCCCTTTATACGCGTGTCATTAAGAATGGTTAAGCAGAGGGTTTCAATATACAGGCAAAATAACAGGGGGCTGAGGGGGCAACCCTGACGTACCGAACGTTGCACACTAACGGGGGCCCCCAGACTTTTATTTACGATCAATCTTGTTGAGCAATTCCGGTACGCGAGTGCCACTCCCTCGCAAATCATTGAACCAACATTAATATGGTTTAAAACAGCGAACAATATGCTATGGTCCACACAGTCGAAAGCCTTTTCGAAATCTATCTGTAAAATGGTGACACGTTCATCTATGTAATCGCAGCACTCGAGAATACTGTGTGCTTTATGTATATTTCGGACAATCGAGCGGCCTTTGATGCCACATGTTTGGTGTGGTTCGACGATGTCTTTCATAACCGTCTGTAGTCTTCGGACCAATACTTTCATAAAAATTTTATACTCGACGTTTGTCAGGGCTATTCGGCTATACGCTGTTACTGATCTGAGTTTATGGACTTCTTTAGTTTTTGGAATCAGCACTGTGTGAGATGACCGGTACGACGGAGGCAACGTATTTACTTTATACGCTTCATTGAATATAATTGTCAAAAGAGGACCGATTTCGTCTTTAAACTCTTTGTAAAATGCAGCAGTGAAGCCGTCTGGTCCCGGTGACTTTCCCGGATTTAATTTGTTTATAGCTTCCTCTACCTCGGCGACTGTTATTTCACTTTCCAAACTCAGTTTTCTTTCGTCGTCGATTCATGGTAAAACAGCCAAAAATTTTCTCTAGAAGTTTTCAAAGGCAGTTGGGTGCAAACAGTTGGGTGCAAACAACGTGAACAGCTTACGATAATGCTCCATAAAGGCGGTCGCGATACCGACAGTGTCGGTTGATAAGGTACCGCCCCACTCTATCTCACGTATATGGTTATTTTCGGCGCGTGATTTTTCCAGCCCAAGCGCGTGTCTAGACGGTGTTTCACCCACCGCGGTATCTTCTGCCCTTGCTCTCACGAGCGCACCCCGATAGCGCTGTTGGTCAAGCAGTTCTAACTTTTGTTTTATTTTTCTGATGTCTTCGATCCATTTTCCGGGGGCTCGGCCTTCACACTTTAGTAGCTTTTCGAAAAGTGTTTCCAATTTGGTCTCTTTTCTTCTCCCCTCACGTCGAATGCATGTGGCCCTGCCAATGGCTTTTAATTTCAAGGTTTCCTTGCAGAGCTCCCACTGCTGCCAAATGTGAAGGTCTTTGCTGGCGTCTATCTGGCTAATTGCCTCCCTTACGTATAAATTAAAATCTTCGTCCTTGAGAAGCTTACTATTAAATTTCCAGGTTTTCCACGAGAAACAACTACATTTCTTTACAGTTCCAATCGAGCACAAGACTGCACAGTGGTCAGAAAATGACACCGGCACGACATTGTAACTAGCGCACATCGGAACAATGTCGACAGATACATAAATACGGTCAAGTCTCGCGTGACTTAGGCCCTCAAATCGCGTGAACCTAACCGAACTCACACACTGCAGACACTCTGCCACATCCTCAAGGCACCAGTCCTCAAGAACCCACGCCAACACGACCGTGCTCTTGTCTCTGAAACTCCGAGGGCTTTTCTTGTCATGTGCACTGAGAACGCAGTTAAAGTCGCCCAACACTACTAACTGCTTTCCTGCGCTATGCTGCTGGCCTTGAAACAAAAGGGCCCTTTCTTCAACCTTGTTGGGCGCGTACACGCACATGATACACCACTCGGTGTTATTCAGAGAGAAGTCGAGCATAGCACACCGGCCGGCTGCACAGGAGAAATGGGCGTTAACTTGAAGCCCCGGAACCTTCTTTACGAAAAGTATACAGCCAGCCGATGTGCCTACGGCATCACTGACAACTACGAAAAACCTTGACGCGAAAAGACGCACCATGCTGCCGGTCTCTTCATCACCGTCAACTTTTGTCTCCTGCACTGCTAGGACGTCTATATCTCGTTCCGTTACAAGTCTATAAAGCTGGGTTTGCTTCCTTTTCGTTGCCAGACCCCTAACGTTGATGGTAGCGACTTTTAACGGAAAGACAGGCGCCATCTTAACGCAAGAAGAAAGGGACCGGCAGCATCGTGCTCACCTCCCGCGTCTAGCCCATGGCTAGACGGCAACATCGCCGGCGTTGCCATCCGGCGCTGTTGATGTGACTTGCCCGTCCGGCTCAACGTTGCCGCTGCGCTTGTCGGCTTGAACGTTAGGACGCGGTCGGAGTGATGGCCGCCGCCCTTGAGGCGTCTTTGCCGGAGGTTCCTCGACTCTGGTCGTTGCTACTGGGCTTCCGTCATTCGTGGTCTCGGTGTGGGGGCGTTTCGACGCCACGGAAGCCGTCGAAGGCGTGTGGACGCAGCCCTTTTCCAACTGTGACTCTGGGGCGCCCTTGAGGTCGCTGACCTTAGGTGCCGGTTGGTTCCCTGTAGCTCCCGCCGTCACTTTGGCTTTCGCGGCCAACTCGTCGGCTGAATGCCGAAGTGATGGAACGATACCTTTGCCGGCGTCGCCATCTGACGCCATTACAGATAGGTCTTGGGGAGCTAGCTCATGGCCCGTTGATGGCGACAAGTCATCTAGAGGTTGAAGGCCCGCCGGACCATCCTTTTTCAGGGCGTCACCGCCGTATTGCACAGCCGCATTTGGTGTCACCGTGCTTTTGCATATTTCGTCCAAGCCCCTCGCGGCCTCCTCAGCCTCGGCGACGTCCATTAGCTCTTCATGTTCATTGGTCTTTGGCAGCCCCGTCGCCGACGCATACGTACGGACGCAGTCTGCGTCGACATGTCCATACCGCCGGCACTTGGAACACCGCGGTACCTTGCAGTCTCGTCGTACGTGTCCGGTGCCGTGGCAGCGGAGGCATTGCATCGCCTGCCCAGGCACTATGACGAGGGCCAGCTCACCAGCGACTCGAACCTGATGGGGCAGGTCGTCCACCTTGACTCCTGGCTTTAACTTCAACAGCACAGCCCTCGTTGTGGAGCCCTTTTTCCGCATGCCTTGAACACGCCACCGCTCACGCGTCACTTCGGTGACGTTCCCGTACGCAGCGAAAGCCGTCCGAATGTCTTCATCTTGGACGCCGTACAGCATCCAATGTAGGCGAATGTTGACCTGCTGGTCTTCGGGGTCCAAAATGATACATCGACGGCCTTTCACCTTCAATTCCTTCAGGGCGGCCAATTTCTTCACCGCTTCGCCAGTGTTCAGAGTCACAGCCCACACGTGGTTGATTTGATATGCCCCCAACGCGACTACGTCGGGGAGCAAACCAACCATTGCGAAGGCGTCCCGGAAGTCCTCGACCTTGTAAGGACGTTCACGCACATCACCGTGCAAAAACAACGTGTTAAGTACAACACGGCCGGTGGGCAAAGTTGGCAGAACGATCTCGTAGTCCTTATCACCGATCCTGTTTCCGCGGCCAGCTCGGGCCGCTATCACCGCTCCGTCGGAGCACATGATTCTGCGACCGTTCGCTTGCGCTGCCGGAAGAAGAATGCTCGGCCACGCTACCGATGGTTTGTACTGCTTTATAAGGCGATGTTCAATAAACGGGACGAACGACGAGGTAGAGAAGCAATAAAAGTTTTGGCAGCGGTGGGACTCGAACCCACGTCCCCAAAAAGACTGGTACCTTAAACCAGCGCCTTCGACCGCTCGTCCACGCTACCGATGGTTCGTGCTGCTTTATAATGCAAGGTTCAATAACCTGGACGAACGACAAGGTAGAGAAGCAGTAAAAGCTTTGGCAGTGGTGGGATTCGAACCCACGCCACCGAAAAGACTAGTGCCTTAAACCAGCGCCTTAGACCGCTCGGCCACGCGACCGAAGTTGATATGAGAGGCTGTGAACGACTAGCAGTACGCAGCCACTCGCAGTACGTGTCGCAGGACAGGCGGCCTCGCTTGATGTCGCTGCAAGAAAAAGATATACGCTGGCCCCATGCCCTTAGAAGGTGGCAGCTGCTTCTGTGTCTGCGCGGCGCAAAAGCCAACATGTTCACAAAACTGTTATCGTTCGTGGGCCACTGCGATTGAAGCAGCGAAAAGCAAAAAGCAAGGCCGCAAACCAGCATTAACAGCAACGCTGAACTTGAAGTGATACCACTGCAGAAGGGATACTACTGGAGAAGGGAGAACACTTACATATATGGGAACACTTGAAAAAGTCAGGGCAAAAACCATTTTCCTTGAAGGTGCCTACCTACTGCTCCGCTCTTTACTCCATCAAACCGCATGAATAACGTGACTGATCTACAATGCATTCGTCAATAGACGAACTGGACTCCGAGTTCCTTGAAAAGATAACTCACATCATGTTGCTTCCCTTATCAAACTTTCCTTCCCAGTGGCTCTTAGATGCTCAAACAAGTGGAACTAACGAGAAACATATCACTGAAATAAAGGTTTTAAATTGAGAATATATGAAATGTTATTAAGAGTTCCATGTCCTCGGCTATGCGAGAGCGTTGAACGACAGGAAGTTGATGCTCGCATGAGGAAGCAACTTGTTTAATTCAGGAGGACAGACAGCTGGGCGAGTTGGTGACAGTACTTGAACATAATTTAACACAGTGCATGACTGCGCGGGAACAAGAGAAGAAGGGGGGACAAATCACTGTGCTGACTCACAACTGAATTATGTATTGAAAAAAAATGGATGAAAAAGAAGCACTTCAATCTTCACACCCATGTGACCACAGTAAAGCAAGGAAACAGCAGATCAGCTGATATTTTGACCAATGACACGCAAAAAAAAACTCCCAAGCATTTCCCCGAGGGTGAACATGGTTAAGTGCGAATACACGGGGTGATGCTATGAGGGGCATTTATTAATTCGCACTATTATAATTATTAATCACACTATGGTGCCTTTATGGTGTAATGGTTCCTGGGAATCGCAATTTGATCACACGGGGGAGTTTACGTTAACTCACTGGCGAATGCCAACGGATTTTAACTTTACTCCCCCCTCACGACCCGCTCTCGACGGGAGACTGAGAGAGAAGGCGGGCGCGCGAGAGAGAGGGGTGCGCGCGCAGCTGCAGCGAGCGAGGAGAGTGGAGGAGCGAGCGAAGGGGGAGGGGGTATAAGGCACGTTACTGACACCGATATCAGCGTCGCGTCCGTGGCTTATTCGGTAGAGCGTCGCGCTGCGGCCCGCCAAGTCCTCTTTCTTTTAAAGATAGAGAGAAGACTGCGGACGCCGCCGACGGCGGTGGATGGTTTGGGGTCGCTTATAAAGTGTATTCACACTTAATAACCTTGATACATCCCACGTGCAATCTCCAACAGCATAAAAGCTAAGATATCGTGCTATCTAAGAACCTAACCTCCCTGTCATGTAGGGCTATAAAGGCATGCTAATGCATTGTTCGCCCCTTTTTTTATATTATATGCTTGATTTATGTCTCGTGTCGTTTGTTCTCTGTGTGTCGAAAGGAACTTTAGCTTCACGATAGGTGCGCAATGGCACTGCGCAACTTGTTGGGACACATGTAAGTATACATTCCCTTGCAAAGAACGTTTGTTTTCAACAACCTAATGTCAATGCATTTACCTTGTTTGTCCTATGTGTACACGACCACATGAAAGCGGCAAAAAATACACGATAGCCTTGCTGCACTGTACAAAATCAGTCATGTTTATGACCCCATAGCCTTGTTTAGGCACTGCTGACACGCGCTTCTTAAGTTTCCGTTCAACTATCCCACAAACCTTATCCAACTTATTAGGCGACGAAAAAACTACACTTACTCCAAACCGGCTGGCAACATTCTTGAAATTGTGAGATGATTGATTGATATATGGGGTTTAACATCCCAAAACCACCATATTATTATGAGAGACGCCGTAGTGGAGGGCTCCGGAAATTTTACCACCTGGGGTTCTTTAACGTGCGCCCAAATCTGAGCACACGGGCCTACAACGTTTCCGCCTCCATCGGAAATGCAGCCGCCGCAGCCGGGATCTGATCCCGCGACTTGCGGGTTTTAGCAGCCGAGTACCTTAGCCAATCGACCACCGCAGCAGGGCTAAAAGTTGTGGGATGGCCTGCGTATGTACGGAAGTACTGCTGAAGATTTCCTATGCTCTGGATCTAGATGTGTAGCGATACTGTCTGCGTTTTTTTTTTTTTTAACTCGCTTGGTCCACTTGCGACAGTTTGCCGGACGCTAGCTTCAAAAAAGCCTGCGTCTGTTAGCCTCGTCACTTCCGAGAAGCTAGTGGCCATCTGATGAGATCAATACCTAAACAGTGCAGAAAGCAAGCATAAAAAATAAATACCATTCATAATAACTTTCGAATGGCCTGAACTAAAATTCAGAAGCAAGCAGCCACTTTTTTTTACTTTTTAGACTGTGAATAAAGCTGTCTGAATGAGCAGCAAAAAGCAGATCGAGAGTTGAGGCTTTTCAGGATGTCTTACCGTAAGCGTCATCCTTCATATAGAGTGCAAATTGCGCACTAAATCTTCAACCATTTGACGGCAAACTGCGCTCTTGGTACCAATACAGTTACCTTTGATTCTAAACATATGTCTGGGCGCAAGTTTAGGGACAGGTGACTTGGCAGCATTCCTACATAGTCTCCTACATACTGCCATAGCCTCATGTGGTACTGCAGTAATATTGAACCTAGAAATTGTGCCTATATCTTTTTTCTTAGAACTCAATGTAATTACTTAGGTGAGACCCTGTTACCGTCAAAATCATTGACAGGAGAGCAGTTCATAAATTGCGTCACCTTTGATGACCTGGTCATTCGCAAAAATGCATTTGAATACTGAATGCAGGGAGATTATTGACTAGATGGCGCCTGGTATTCACCGACAACACAAGCCAAGCGAGACCTGGTTATATGCAGTTAAGAAACTTTAAGGCCCATAGTGGATGGCATATCACCTTTTAAGTGCGTACCCTTTCAGCGTAGCCCGTTATCGTCCATCCACAATTTTAGATCGCATGAACACACAGTGGTTCATGTAGGCCTAAAGAAGGCTAACAATGCTCAAAACCATGCAGAGAAAAAATAAGGTCTAAAGTAACATAATGATAATTGTTGGGGTTAAACTTCCCAAAACCATGATATGATTATAAGAGACGCCGTTGTAGGAGGGCTCCGGAAATTTTAGGCCATGTGGTGTTCTCAAGGCGCGCCTGAACTTAAGGACACGGGCCTCGAGCATTTCCGGACTCCTTCGAAAAAGCGGTCACCGCCACCAGGATTTGATCCCCAACATGCGGGTAAGCAGCATGATACCTTAGCCACTAGACCAGAATGGCAGGTCTAGGTTAATATATTCTAAGTGATATGCAAGAATTAATCATATGAATTTCTCTTAAATTGCGAGGAACTCTTCCGAGAACATCCGGCTGAGACCATCACCACTCGAGAGAAGGCGCAACTTCATCGGCAAGTTCGCGATCGCTCGTGCTGTAGGCAAGGCCGAGATCGCGAAGGGAATCGATGGGTTTACCACGCCACGCTTTGCTGAGATTGCATGGCTGTGGAGCTGCAATAATTGCCGGACTTACAACTACAATGAGACCTACACAAGGAATACATTAGCCTAGGATTTAGCGCGGGGTTTAGAGGTATACACCAAGACTTACAGCATGCAGAATGCCATTAGTGCGGCAGTGACTGCAAAATGAGCGCGTGCTATATTTGTGCAGAGTTAATGATAGATTAAGCACTGGATTTTCAAATCGGTAAAATAATAACCAGTTCTAAAGTATTGACACTATCAATGCAGTGTTTTTCTTTTCTTTTTTTTTTCGTGAAAACCTATATGCTGCATAGGGATCTTTTCCTTTGCTTAAAGATATCTCCGGAAACACGGAACAGAACCATGCGGCTGCGCTCATGCCAGTACTTTGTTTCAGTGCTTTCGAAGATGCTTCAAGTGAAATAGCTGCTTAAGGTACTGTTCACAATGAGATCACGGCTGCTCGATATGACTAAGCGGTTGGTTATCGTTATCAAAGCTATAAATTCAAAATCATATCAGGTGCCATCATGCAAAAGACAAACAGTGTACTAAAGCAGGAAATGCACGAAACTGTCGTGGCATGAATCGGTTCCAGATTCCGCGACGCCATTGATGCTCAACATTCACGTTTGATGAGGCACCTAAAGCTTTTGGCTTTGATCCATCGCCATACTTGATGATGAGCCCTTTCCGGGGGTTCAACACTTTTGGATATTAGAACCAGCCGTAGATTCCGCAGCCGCATCTGTGAGAACGGCCATTGAGATCCGGTTACCCAGTCAAAGAGGCTTCGGCGGATGCATAACTCTAAATACAGAACTATAGACAAGACCTATTCGTTCCTTCAGAGACAACGACAATGAAGAGACGGCAGTAAGCTTTTTCCCTGAGCCATTTTCAGGACAGGCTCCTATCCCCGACATCTCACTTAGCTGAGAAGAAGAATAAAAACGGGCCAAGCCGGTTGCGTACAATTACATTTTGACCCTCAATGGCCCCATTAGATTTTAGGTGCAACTCGCCTTTATTGTAAAGGTGTGAAATTGGTGTCTAAGTACTGCGTTTGTAAATGAAATGAAGTGTTCCGCATGAGTATCAGGAAAGAATGTTCAAGGTATGCGAAATGACCATACCCGACCTTCCTTTCTAACCCAAGATCACGGTTACAGTGCGATC